GATTGTCAATTTCTTAGGTCCAGAGATCATTTAAAGTGTATGCTTCCCGGAGTCTGTTTAATTCCCCAATTTAATGACAAATATTCTGATACTGGAATAATTCATTTGATTGGTATTGGAAAGAGGAGCGCGGTCAATAGCTCGAAAAACACGTAAAATGTAGACAATTTATCGAAGGTATTGTACCCACAGGCAGATATCGAAAGATTATACCTTAGAATATCACAGGTGAAGAGGACTGATAGGAGTGGAAGAGTGTGTAATGCTAATGACAATAGCGCCAAGTCTTCTTGCCAAGTAGAAGTGACGTCATATTGTTGAATTTTTTGCAGAATCCAAACTCCATCAATTCTTCCCCTCAAAGCGAAAAAGACCGTTTTAGTAAGGTGTTAAAAAAATTAAGAAGTAGACAAACTCATTTATAATCTTTAACAATAGCATCGATGACGTAATTCCTTGTTGAAGAAGGACTTGGAACCATCCGCCACCTTGATCCCGAGATTTTGCGGTAGTCAATTGTATTCCATTTTTCTTAAAATCCGAATAAATCGAGGAAATCGTTACAGAAAAATTGGTGCCTTTTNCCCATGTCTCTACACTACTTAGCAATGGTTTAGCAAACACTTGTTCAGGCAGAATTTCAATGCTATTTAAGCCAAGCTTACTGTTTAGAAAACAAGAAATGATAACAATTAAAAATGAACTACGGAATACAAAAATTGTTTATATTATCACTTTTTCTTGACCATTCTCTTATGGTTTTTGACTATTTAAGTAATTTGTATGTTATCCGACAAATTTTGGTGCTCTACTGCAAAGAGTTAACTGAATAAAAACTTGCAAAGCTTGCAATGCCTAAGACCGAAAGAAATCGTTTTGTGGCATAAAGGATAAAGTAATTATGCTGAAGTAAGACAAGGATGTTTACATTTCTTTACGATATCACGAAACCTCTCGCCGAAATCAGCAAAACACATCTGCAGCCCGACAAAGATCATCCTCAAGCTTCTAGCTCCAAAACTATGTACCCTGGCAAACCAGCCTATCTGTTACTTCTGTTCTCATTCAGCACAACCGGCACGGCGACGCCTGGAACAGGCTAAGTTTCAATAATTTTGAAAATGATAAAATGAAACTCTCAGTTAACTGATTTGGGGGCTAGTAACTGGACAGTTTCTGCAGGGTCCTTCGTGAAACGGGCCCTAGCTACGGGAGAAGGAGGCGAGCATCTTTTCTTCCTGATCGGAAAGCCACCAGTAGAAAAAAAAAAAATTATACAAACTACTAGATATGTTATGTAATCAGAGATTTCATTTTTGTTGTGTTTAACTCTCAAAGGAGTTAACGGAGTTCAATTTTTGCAGCGCATGGCGATTTAACCAACGTGGGTGGGGAACTGCACTCCAGTTTTTAAACGGAAACCGTGGTCTTCAAGTTTTAGCTAGTCCTTAAATACATTCTCAAGGAAATGTATCCTCTCTTCGCACCCTCAACATTTTCGTACATGACGCCGCCAGAGGTCAATGGCATATTCGACATTAGTATATACACACCAGTGCTCTTGGTGATTCAGGCAATCTGATTGGTTCGTTATCTCTTACTATGACGTTATATTCTCCGCGCTTGACGGTGAATATAAAGCAAAACAAAATCGCTCTCGTAAACTGGGTGTTTTGCGAAAGTTACAAGAATATCCTAGTGTTCATGGTTCTGAAGGTGAGAAAAGACTTCATGGTGTTTGAATAGCGTGATTTATTGTGAAGTAATTTACCTGAATTTTTATGCGCTCGAAGCAATGTACTACAATGAGAGCAAAATTAACGAGGCTGCTTTGTCACTGTTTTGTGAACTCAGAATTTCCTCTCAAGACCAATAAATAGAAGTTAATTTATGGAGAGAAAAAGGAAGGGAAATATATATATTTTCGAAAATTGTACGTGCCAGCAAGTTAACGGGGCAAAGAACACTTTAGATACACAACACTCGTCTTGATCATGGGTGCTGTTGACAGCATTTGCAAGAAGCGACAAAAAGAACTTTCTCAATCACGTTGTGTTGACGGAAGGAAATAAAACTCTGCATTTCTTCTCAGAAGGAATAGAAATTTAAACGTTCGACCTTTTCTTTTAAACCACTGATAATAAAGCTTACAAAAGGTTAAAACTGTGATTTGCCATGTTTGAAGTTGCTGTAAAGATCTAACTTTTGCGCATCTACTGTTTACGGCTACATGTTCACGCATGAATTCACCTGTCAATCAAACTAGTCGTTTTTTTAATGGTTTCCTTCCCGATTCTACTGAGATCACTTCGTATGTATATTTTAAAACAATAGACCATATTGAATTTATTAGATTTAAGTAGTATTGTGGATGCCCATGGCTCTTTTTGCCTGAAAAGCGCGCTTAAATACTAAGCGAGTGCCCCCTGGGCACTCCGTAATACTCCTTAAATCTAGTAAATTCAATATGGCCGCCGTATCGGTAAAAATGTCTATTATTCACCTCAGGCTCATTTAATATTGTGGATTATTCAACAATATTAAATTTGCCTTCGGCAAATAATTGTTAACAAACAGCAGCGAGCAGACCAGATATTTGTTTATAGGAAAAAGCATGTGAAATTGTGTCAATTGTCGGAAATGAAAGAGCTGTCATTTAAGAAGGCGTGACAAGCGGCAAGATCCCATCACTTTTTTTCGTCCCTTTCTTCTTCCATCACGTAAAAGGGAAATGCTACCAGGGGTAATCTACATGTACGGATCCGTTTTTAAAAGAACGAATCGTAACTTAATATGAAGGTACATCTAGAATTCAAGTTACTTCTTAAGGCACTATATTAATAAAGGACATGGAGTGCGATTTCTGTAATGCCCCTGTTGGTAATTACTTTTGAAAGAGGTTAACAGTCTAGTGACTGTGTCGCTATATTGACGCTTAAGAGACAAGGTAAAGGTCCCTCTAGCACGGTAAAGAAATGCTGTCTTTACCAGACGGCTTTTCTCCACGCGACTTCGCCGCTCGTGGCATCAGCCTTAATTTCCGTTAATTTCCCATAATAAGAAAATTCAGAGGGACGGCGGAAACTAGTAGCTGAACTTTGGTATTTGCAATTTAGCATTGGCCTCTGTGACTTAAAACATAAACCATAAAATATGCTTTCTATCAAAACTTCACGCGTCTATTTTTCAGTTTAAAATGTTTATTAGTACTTTTCTGAATCCCACAAAAGTCGAATAATTTCTTTCCTTGTTGCTACTTTTTAACAGTGAAATGCTAATCAATGTTCAAAATCTAATAATAAGGGGTTGATTCACCATGAGACGGGATGGCACTGCAGTTTACCAGGCTAAATCACCATACTGACATGACTTTTATACCTACCCAGTACATGAAGGGAGATTTCCCGGGGCCAGCATGCATGCTTACAGAGAGATTAAACACAGTTATCACAGTTACTAGCTGCCTTTTTGCTGGTTTTGTTCGCCAGGTAGGCCCAGTGATCGTAATTACATGAAAAAGTTCCAGCCAGAAAAGCCTTAATCCCCGTATCACGCATCCCCGCATCACGATACCATACTGGGTGGTCATGCAAGAACGGTTGATTTTCGTTGCGATGAGTTAACGTTTGTAGCTCTCGGCAAAGCACGGTTTATAAAATCAGACCCTAAACATCTGCAAATTTCTTGCAGGGGACAAAAGACATATTAAATAATCTTATCGCAGGAGTACATATCAATTCTAAACATTTCGATACAGTGCTTGCATTCTAAAAGCCTGCACAACTTATTTTAAATGACAAGATAATGTATTTCTTCTCCGGTTCAGACACCACTTTTCTCCTGAGCTCCTTCAACCCGTTTTAGCGACATTCAGTTGTCGGCGATAACACCTAGATAAAGAAGAAATCAATGATGGCTCTCAGTTCTCACAATGAAATATTAGTTTAATTGGACACCTTTTTAAATCTTTGAAGCAAAAAACAAGACATCGTTATGTGGTATAAATGTGCAGTGTGGTTTGAGATAACTGCAGCAAATAGGTCTAGCATATCTAAAGCCAAGTTATCCCGGCAATGCTGCTGTTACCAAAGTGAGAGAAATGAAGGGTATTGCCGGGCACAAATCCTGGCCTCTCCGGCTGGGTGGCATTTTGATTAAACAACGAAAAGAATGCAATGTTTCTCAGTAATATTTAGCGACTTTAGAAGGTGCGTTGATGCTTGTAGACCCTCGGGATTAATGTTGTCTGTTATGCTTTTTTAACCAAAAACCATCGAAAATATGGAGTGACTACATCCTTAGCATAGACTTATCGAGATTAGGGACAAAAGACGGCAGTGAAAACGAAAGGATAGTACCTGAGTAGCTTGCAATGCCGTTTTTAAATCAGACAGCTGTGTGCTTTAATAATTGTTATTCATGGGTTGTGGATCTTGGAAATATAATAGAACTTTAGTGTCATTGCATTAGACACTTCTTGATTCTTAATTTTTGATGGGGGTAGGGGAGCTCGTTTGCAACTTTAAATTTATTTACTTAGGTTCGCCAATTTTGGCAGGGTCACCGCAACGGCGCATGGCGCCTATTACTACTGACCCTTAACAGTCCCTCTTCCTATGAGAGATATACCATCCCAACGGGAACGTAACGTCTCCAACTCTTTACAGTGTGTGGGTTCTTTAACGTCTCATAGGATTTATATGTAAAAGGGTTGTGAGATGAGGCCTACGGTTTATTGTCCTTATTCGAGAAAACGAGAAAGTCTGACCGTTTGCAAATGTCCTTAGAAAGGTATCACTTTATGTTCAGTCATTTAAAGAGACCCCGATCGTTGATCCGGCCGGGGTTTGAGCTACCGTCTCCCACTCGGCAGAGCGACGCTTATTTAACTGATCGTGAGTTAACCGAGGTGCGGTAAAGTAACTTACTTGCTAGTGGTTTTTAATTGGGTGAATAGTTGCCAAAGTATTATTTTCGTCTATGCATTATACTCACGCTGATCAGGTAGGTGTCCTTATCGCTGTTTGTACGCTTTGGTCATTTCTCTCTTTAATGTTCTGAATCTGTTTGGGAGGATGATCTTTCTGCTCAAATCCGTCGCCGTCGTTTTCGCCAAGAGTGATATCAGTTACGCCAATTTCCTTTACGGCACCTGCAATAGTGCTCATTTCCATCTGTCCTGAATCCAGCTGGGTGCGCAGGACGTTCGTACTTGTCAAGCTACTTATTTCTCCCGGCAGTGAAAGTAGAGGAAGAACAAAAGCCAAGCAGCAAGAGACTGACCATTGTGGATTTTTGCGCCATTCCTTAACAAAAACATACAATTGCTCTGTATAGTTAACTATACAAAAAGAAAAAAACAACAAAGACAGTTGGAGTATAACGATCAAATTATGGATACACGTGGAAGGTTGTTTAGTACGCGAGAGCCGAATTAATTATGATGAAAATCACTTCCACCATATAGTGCAGAATAAACAACAGAGAGAAGATCCAATTTTAGAGTGTCCTTACAGATAACCCACCCAGCCCAGATAGAGTTTTTCAGGGTCAATACCTCAAAGATTTGAAAATCTCACCACCACAGCCGTGTTAGATAAAGATGAAAATTTGTTACGATCAGGCTTAAAATGACATCGGAGTTGCATAGCAACGAAAGGACGCAGTATTTCGCGGAACTGTGAACTGTTCTTCCAAAACCGTTCACGGAGGCGGTTTTCTCTAACAGGCATCTCGATGTTCTTGAAGTTTAAGCGAAATCTGTTTTTTTAAAAGTAAAGATTCTCGAAATAAATCGTCATTTTAAATAATCTTTGAGTTTCAAGATTACTGAAATCTTATAAGGAAGTCAAATAAGAGCTACAATTTGCTAATTTTTTGTCGGAAATTTCTTCCAACAAACCTCTTCCAAAAATATGCTGATAACGATTAAACATCACGAACATCGAGGCGGTAATAAGAGGAAAAAGATGCCGTGAACTGTTTTGGAAGAACAGGTAATGGCGTCAATTCGTTGCTATGACAACTCCGATGTTATTGTAACCCTGATCGCAACAAATTTTCATCTTTATCTACAGTTGTGGTGGTAATTTGTCCAAATCTTTGTTAACGTGGCGTCGTAGTTTGTACTCAAAACTTGGGAGGTATTGCCCCTGAAAAACTCTATCAAGCCACCTTAATTAAGTAGTACAATTTAAGTAAAAGAAAAACATCTTACGAATCAAAAGTCCCATAACGAGAGTATTTGCTCCGAGAATCAATATGTCGAAAGCCACACTGTTCATGTCGGTAATGTCTGAAGCAGGTAGGTTCTCTGCGGGAATCCTACTCACAGCTCCAATTCCCAAGTTTAAAATAGTCACTGCAAGAGATGCCGTCATCAGTCTGTTCTGAGAATCATCTTGGATGGGCCTGACACAGGAAAAAAGTATCCCATACATTCCTCCAATGATCCAGGTCAAGCCAACATAAGACCTTGTTTCGCTCCCCACCATGACAAGACCCGATGTAACGATCATTTTCCGAGACATCTCAACCATTTCCCAATACCAGGAACGGTCTTTGTAGTCTTCGAATAGAAAACTCAGCCCTCTAACCAATTCCGTGTCGCGACCCTCAGATATCTTGCCGTTTGCGGAGTTTTCGCTTCTTCGACATCTCCAAAGAGAGATAAAAGTCGCAACTGGTAGTGCGATGATATAGACAACTGAGAGGTAGGCAGTAATTGCCAGGTTCTTATACCTTGAATCATCGCACTTTACGCTGTAATCTGCTCTCAGATACTCAGAACAGTTCTCGTCTTCTTTGTCCTGACATAATTTCCAGCAAGCAATTGGCAGGACGGAGGTTACTTTAGAGCATGTGCTTAGGTATGTCACGTACAGGGCAAAAAACAAGTTTCTATAAACTGTTTCTTTTAGTTCTGAAATTTTGTGGTACATTTCCTCTTCTTCTAAACGACGATTTTGCGAAATGATAGCTTTACGGGAAAAGTAAATTATCCAAGCAAATCCGATCAAACAGGCATTTATTGTCATTATCGCAAGAAGGTTTCCAAAAGCGTCAACATGCAATCCATCAAAAATACAGCTAACTGGCGCTATTTCAAGAACGCCCAGCTGCAGAATGGCTGAATACTTGCCAATCAATTGAAGAGAATCCGGCCATGATATGTAAGAGAATGCATCTAGCAAACCATTGGTGACCTGATAAAAGCCGATAACGATCTTGATCTTGGATAAAAACGTGTCTGTTAATGAGTGTTTTCCTTCTTTTTTCCCGTTTTTCACCTTTTTTGACCACGCAGAAAATGCAACGATTATCAAAATAATCGCAGCAATGATACACAACTGCCCAGCTATCCAAGTCATCGATGGACATCTCTTGCATGAATGGAACTGTTTATAATACCGTGAACTGCAGACACTACAAAGTGGGCCTTCGTAACCAATCTTGCAACGAGAATCTAAGCCACCTTCACAGGATTCTTCTAGTGGACATCTGTATGGCGTGGGTATTGGGTGAGGATATTGTACATCGGTTTTTCCTAATGCTGGTGTAGATGTCAAAAGATTTTTTAAGAAATGTCGGTAATGCTCTTTGTAAGACTCGATCCTCCAACTCCACCAATAACCGGATTTCAAGGTTGCGTAATCATCCTTGCATTCCAATCCTACTTCGCATTTTTTGCATTCTTTAAACATATTGGTTCGATAATGATTTTCCAAACAACGACAGCCTCGAAGTCCGGCAAAGAAATCTGTTTCCGTACCTATAAAACATTTATAATAAGAATAAAAATCCTGGTTAATAAACCATGCGAGAGAGAGGCACCATTCAAGACTAGGTATATCACATATCCGCATGCCGAACAAATCACCTTTTATCACGAGCTATACTTAAATGCTACTCTAGTATTCCCAAAGACGCAAAACTTGCAAGTCAACAAAGATCAGTTCTCGGAAATTTTACCAAGTTTCTCGACGCTTTTTTCCCCACTCCCCGAATAGCATTTTTGACTCTTTAAGGTGTTTCGATACAGTTTCTCGGAGAACATACCGATGTTTTTCAATCGCCTTAAAAGTGATTTTATCCTTGTTCGATCGCCGCAAAATTTTCACCAGTGATTGAGTATGAATTGAAGTTTGCCAAAATGCAGTTTTTAGTAAAATCAATGTCACTATGACAGCAATAAACAAAAAACTTTAAAATCGATTAAATCCGAATTTCGCACAATCTAGACTTGTTACCGAAAATCCGACACCAGAAACTTAAAGTATGATGTTTAGCAAATAACCTCCGTGAGACGGAAAAAATTCTGTATGCTTGAATTCAAATAAAACTTAAATGTATATCGAACCTTATATTTTCAAAAGCCGTGATAAATTGTTTAATAAAAAAGTTCTAAAGAACTCAAATTAATCTAGCGTCAGTAGCGTCATATTTCGATGCATGGAAAGTTTAGTGTATTTCCTTTCTTGCGATCAATGAGAGTTTCAGATATTTTAATAATATATACAACATGGAGATTGTGTGGTGAGGGTAAAAAAAATTCTGTGGAGCCATTTTTTTAAAAATATACAGAAAAGCTCTAAAAGCCAATATTCAGAACAAAGTTGCACATAGACAGGTGGTGAGAAAACAGTTTAATAGTTTTCAGGATCAAAGCCTTCAGACGCTACTTAAGATTAATTTGAGTTATTTAGAATTTTTATATTATAATATTTATCACGGCTATTGAAAATATAAGGTTTGAAATATGCTTACGTTTTATTTGAATTTAAACATACAGAATTTTGTACTTCTCTCGGAGGTTATTTGTTAAATACCAAACTTTTAGGTCCTGGTGTCGGATTTTCAGTAGCAGGTCTAGATCGCGCGAAATTCGGATTTAATCGATTTTAAAGTTTTTTGTTTATTGTTGTCATAGTGATATTGATTTTACCAAAAACTGTATTTTTGAAAAACTTTAATTGATAATCTTAGTGAAAATTTTGTGACGATCGGACAAAGATAACATCATTTTTGAGGCGATTGAAAAACATCGGTATGGTCTGCAAAAAATGTATCGAAACACCTTGTAAGGCAACATTCGGTATTTTTGGACTTGCAATTTTGGGTAGTCTCAACTGATGTTATGATGTTAGCCATTATAAACAAATTTAAAAAATCAACATAGATCATTCTCTTAAGCCATTATACTCAAATGAAAATAAATCAATTACTCGAGCGAAGCGAGCCGATAGGTAGTCTGGGGACAGGACCGCTCGGCTTTCTTCACTCGCCGTTATTTTTCGTATTTTACCCCGTTTTTTGCCTTTTTCCCCCACTGGTCCGAGTTAGGCTAATTGTATATTCCACTGTAGAATAATTTTTGATGCATCAAAACTCATACCTTGGCTCCGAGGCTTTGAGATTAAAGAAAGATGAATGCATCATTAATCCCTGGTTTTGCTGTATCTTTCAAGGTGTTTCGATACAGTTTTTCAGAGGTCATACCGATATTTTTTAATCGCCTTAAAAGTGGTTTTTTACTTGTCCGATCGCTGTAAAATTTTCACCAGTGACTGGCTATGGATTGAAATTTATGAAAATGTAGTTTTAAGCAAAATCGATATTACTATGACAACAATAAACAAAAAAATTGAAACTGATAAAAGCCGAATTTTGTGTGATCTAGACCAGCTACTGAAAATCCAACACTAGGAACTTAAAGTTTGGTGTTTCGCAAACAATCTCCGAAAAAAGTAAAAAATTTTGTATGTTTAAATTCGACTAAAACGAAAATATATTTTAAACCTTAAATTTTCAATAGCCGTGATAGGTTATTTAATAAAAACGTTTTAAATGACTCAAATTATTCTAAAGTAGTGTCAGAATGCTGCTTAATATCATCCTTATTAGGCTAGGAAATGTTGGTTTATTTTCGATCTTCAAATTAACCCGTTTTCTCACCAGCTGTATAAGTACAACTTCATTCAAAATTTGGACTTTTAGCGCTTTTTTGTATATCTCTGAAACGACTCGAACGAATTTTTTTAAAATCTCTTCACATAATCTTCATAATACCTGTAATAAGGTCTGAAACTTACTTTCATTGAGATTGATTCACTGCAACATCTTAAAATTTCAAGACAAACCTATCCTACGAACCTGTCAAAAATCTGCGTTACAACATTCGCTGTTTTGACGTTATGCTAATTTTTCCAAAATGATGCGCACTATACATTAACATTGACAATACTCACATTGAAATGTACTAGTCATGGATATATGTATTGTCCGCATTAATTTGGAAAAATTAGCATGATGTCAAAACAGTGAATGTTGTAGCGCGGATTTTTGACTAGCTCGTAGGATAGGTTTGTCTTGAAAAATTTCAAGGTGTTACAGTGAATCAACCTTAATGAATGTTTCAGAAATTATTATATACATTATAAAGATTATGTGTAGAGATTTTTAAAAATAGTCGTTCGAGTCGTTTCAGAGATATACAAAGAAGCGCTAAAAGTCCAAATTTTGAATGAAGTTGCACTTAGACAGGTGGTGAGAAAACGAGTTAGTTTTTAAGATCCCAGAAACGAACATACCCGAAAGTTTCCTAGCATCGAAATATGATAATAAGCAGCATTCTGAGCTACTTAAGAATAATTTGAGTCATTTATGACGTTTTTATTAAGCAATATATCACGGCTATTGAAAATTTAAGGTTTGAAATATATTTTCGTTTTAGTCGAATTTAAACATACATAAATTTTTAATTATTACGGAGGTTATTTGCTAAACACCAAACTAAGTTCCTAGTGTCGGATTTTCAGTAGCTGGTCTAGATCGGGCAAAATTAAGCGTTTATCAATTTTAAAGTTTTTGTTTTTTGTTGTCATAGTAATATCGATTTTACTAAAACCTACACTTTGACAAATGTCAATTTATACACAATCGTGGGTGAAAATTTCATAGCGATCAGACAAGGATACAATCACTTTTAAAGCTATTGAAAAATATCGGTATCGCTCTGAAAAACTATATCGAAACACCCTAATCAATATAATAGAAAAAAAAAAAATGTGCTCTATCGTAAGCAACGAATGAACCGTTTGGGCATTTCTTGCAGCTTGTACTTAAGTAGCCGAAATCATCGGAGTAATATCCCCCTGTAAAAATAAAGAAAATAATACACAACTATTCGTCAAAGGGTGGTGGTGTAAGGGGGAAGTGCCTAATTCAGTTAACACTGAGTAAAAGCTTGCTTTGGCAATTGATTATTGGGTTTTTGGGCATACTGCTCTCCCTGCAATGATTTGCTTGAGTAACCACCAAATAATACGTGCGCAATTCACGAAAACAGCATTTATTGAATCAGCTAGTACATATATGTATCTGTATGTGATAGCACCGTGCAATGAACACTAAAGTTGTTCTTCATGAAGTTAGTCTGTTCTTCATGAAGTTAGTTCACGGGAATGGGACAGTTAGCTTGTTTACAAAGTCCCTCAGGGAGCTAGTAGTAGCACATGACCATTTAAAGAACTGTAAACCATTGAGGCTTTCTGTATTTGAAACTTGTCATGTTAAAAGAGGTTTGCGTCAGCATTATCATACCTAGAGAAGGTTCAGTGAAGCACGGTTCTGAAGCTTCTTTAGCCTCGTCAAATAACGTTTTACCAAAATTACCCCATACAAGATTGCACTAATCGAAGTGAGTTGAATTAGAGCGTTGTTTATATAATATATAGATTTAGCCAGGAGTAAAAGCAAAGCTCCCGTTGATAAATATATTATTTAAATAAAACAATTTAATTTGTAATCCACAAATCATTTTACTTTAGGTGAGATTTTGATGGAGGAGTTCGTTGCTTCAGATTAACCATAATTTGCAATCAGTCTAAGAATGAGTCTTACATCGAGTTTACCCTTTAAAAACCTAAGATCAAAATCTGAATCTTCATTTGTTGCCTCTATTCATTTCCTACAGAAGTGGGGAGAATTAAGTTGAAAAAAATCAAGCAGGATTCATCTTGAGTGACGTGATCATGTCCATAATGCGCATGACCACTCTGTTTTACAAAGCATTGATATTACAAGGAGAAATTTGATGCTGATCACTCTTAGGGCTTAGAGGGTTAATAGTCTTAAATTATGTTCACCCAAAAACAAGCACTCCTGCATGCGATATTCAAGTACGACTGAAAACAATCGGCACTGATATAAGAGAGAGATATGATCCTCATAAAAAAATTAAGACAACAAAATAATACAATTCAATGAAACATTTACAAAGACAACCATTTTAACTCATTACTTCATCCTCCGGTATTGAGGATGAAGTGTATCTGAAAATTCAGAGTCATACATGTATAAAAACCTTGCAGATTCCCGAAACGCACAATGTAAAGAAGAAGAGAGCAAATATAAGGAACCCCAATTACAGTGGCGGACACGTGAGGCTGCAAGCTATATATAAGGCGTTATATGTAGAACTAAGCCATAAAATGGGCACCCACTGGGAGAATAGAACAAGAGATTTTTGTTCATTAGCTTTTTCTCTTACGTTGCAAATGGAAAAGTGCAGAAAGTACAGGTATATGTTTTAGCATGTAACAAAACAGATGGCATCGACGCCCCCTATAAGCTTAAATTATCTCAGTACATTGGGACATCAGCTGGTCGTCCTGGTAATACTCAGTCAGAACTTGTAATTTACTAACCAGGAGGACATTGGGTACACTCTTTAATGACGTTTCTAGAAGAAGAGTCCATATATGTTCCCAAAGGACACGGAAGATAGAGGAAAAACTCATTGTAAAGTTCCTTGACTGTCTTTATCGGGTAGTAACCTGATCCAGCGAGGGCGGAAATGAAGAATGGTCCAAGGAAAAATATTACCCCGGTTTCGGCTTTGATTGCCTGTGCTTCATAATTAACAGGATTCCTGGAAAAAAAAATAAAAGCAATCTCTTTACATTTGAAGACTTTCCAGAAACGACAAAAACAAAGAAAAACACACAAACAAGTAAAAACAAACTTTTATAATGTCTCTGGGTGTTCTTATTCCGGAATGGACGATCACAAAATGGACTTGACAGACTGCTCTTGAATAGTTGCTAGAATGCTTTAAAAGCATGAATATGACGCATGTAAGTGTAACTATGCTTCATTGGAATGATACAATGTTAAGTCTTAAACTGGCTTTCTTTCAGCCTGTTTTTGAAAAAACCACGTTATTTTCACCACTAAACAGATGGCTTCGATTAATAATAGGTAAGAACAAATACAAAATATAAGATGAATAAAAATGAGTGAACGTTTTGGAGTGATTTATACTTAACCGATCTTAGTCCTTGAAAAAGGCAGTAAGATGCTACGCAATAACATGTACTTAACCATTACCTTATTTCAATCCATACCTCTTATTAGCCGAGTTTTTGGTCTTTACCGTAAATCGATGGAAAAAGAAATTGAGGATCCGAGCGAAAAAAACGAGGCTAATAAGATGTTTATTATATGGTTTCCTGTTAGGGGAACCGGCAACAAGTGCTAGACAGCCGATTTAGCAGTCATTTGACAGGCATCACATTATAAAAGTTTTAATTAAATCACGGAAACAATGGTATATTGCAGAGGCTTTTAACAGGAAGTAAAATCAAAATGCAAATGTACCATACTGAAAACGTTTATTTGTCAAAGTTAAAAGCACTGTAAGTATTGGCTCGCCAATGTGATGCTGGAGTCTTCTGTCTGGCTCGAAGTCGCCTCCATCTTCCTTTCAATGGTATTCGAAAGGAACACGGCAAATTCATAGAAGCTCGTCAAGATTATCACGTGCAGGTATGTTTGCTATCATATTATTTGTCGAAGGAATCACTCGAGGTCGTTTTCTCTTAGGCAAAACGTCTCGAACCCCGCCTTTCGATGTTCGTGTGAAAATTTTCAAGTAACGCACTGGAATCCTCTTTTTCGCTAAGATTACGATTCAGTTTCTTTATCGGCCTCGTTCACAAATAAACACAGGTTAAAATATCATGGTACGAAGTCAACATCCGAGTTCTTTTTTTTTTTAAGGTAACGAGAATTAGAGCTGCATGCAACTTGAGAATTTGCAGTTTTGAAATTTTGGTCCGTATAGCAAGTTACGGACTGCCCAACTTAACCAATCGCAAGGCGAAAACAGCCGACTTAGCCGTATAGCCAGGGCTAACAGCGAAGCTCTGGTTACTAATACTTATAAACAAAAAAAAATTAAATTGTGTAACGCTAAACAGGGACGACAATGAAAATGGCTTCAAGACTAATAGATCTAATTAGCAAAAAACAAATTGCACGTGCAGCACACTTTTTCTTCTAATTAGCAAAAAACAAAATTGCGCTGTAGCACTCTCTTTTGTCTTTCCCTTGCCGTTGTTTTGAACGACTACAACGCTTTTTTATTCGACTAAAACGTCAAATTTCCAAGTTACACATTATTTTTAGGGAAGAATTGTCGTATGTGCTAACCCAATATTTTGTTTCCTGTGTTCATGTTCCCTTTTATTTTTCACTGCCGCTCATTTTCACCTTGCTGGCCGCTCCTTGGGTCCTAGCAATTTCTCATTTTCTCACCGCCACTTTGAATTTCCACGTTTTTCTTCCTACGAAATTCGGCTCCTTTGTTTTCAATAACTCGCTCTAGCTCTTTCTCAGTTAAAAAATATCGCCGAAAAAGACACGACTTTGTTGTTGTTGTTTTTTTGTCCGGGCGGCCACGTGATTTCCTTCCAAAAAATCTTGAGTTGCATTTGGGTTGCCATATCTGTTGATTGAGTTATTTTATATTGCTATGCCTGTGGTGGGGACGGACGGTCGCTCGCTCGCTCGGTGTACGGTCACATGATTACCAAATTTTCTGCGATGGGTAGATTACCACATTTCATTAGCTATGGGGCTCGCGCCGCGCGTGGAGCTCCGCTGTAATAAACAAATAATGATTTGGAGATGGCACATCCTCAAAGTGGTTTTTCGTCCACCTGATTCCTGGTCGAATTGGAATTTGAAAATGTTGGTTTTTGGGGAAAGGGGAAAACCGGAGTACCCGGAGAAAAACCTCTCGGAGCAAAGGAGAGAACCAACTCAACCCACATATGGCGTTGACGCCGGGATATGAACCCTGGCCACATTCGGGGCGACGGCAACTTCAACCGGACGTGACGTCATGATTTGTGCAATATTGCGCATGATATTGCTCAACACATAGCTGTCGTGCTTCCGTCGGCGACGTGAAACTGGTCTGTTTGGCGTTGTGGCAAGAACGTGAGTATTTAACTTTCATTTCAATCAGGTTTGTTGCCTTTTGCAACCAGAATTTTGCAGATTATCGTTCTTGAATTGTCCTTGTTTTCTTTGAGTCATATTTCAAGCTTGATTTCCAAGCTGTGTTATCTAAACTTACATCTTTATAATGTTTCTATGTTTCATGTCGCAGAGTCAAGATCTAATCTGATCCAATATGGCAAACAGCAAACCGTAAGTGAGCTTTACATGGGCAAAATTGTCCTACCAGCCAAATGAAAGTATCCAGACAAAAAGTATGAACTACGATATTTTAATTGTGTGTTTTTAGCTCACCTTTTTCGTTAGAGTATCGTATAAATGAAACGTATTGAAAATTGTTTAGAATAGTAGGTAATACTACGTACTAACGTGGGAATACTGAAATAAAGTTGTTGTTGTTGTATGCAAGCAAATAAGCACTAATTCTCTTAATTCTTTATGTGACGCCACATTTTCCTATTCTATAGTCTTCCAAGGCGCCGTCCTCCTGAGTTCACTGCGATCTTAATGTTCGAATTTTGGAGGGAAAACACAACAACACTGTTTCCAGAGGCGGTGGGAAAGGGACCGGAAGAATCGCTACCGCTACGATGTTTAGAAAAAATGCTCTCCAATTATGCGATTTTATCAAGATTTTGTCCAAGATTGCAGCGCTCGTCTACTTCTTCACTACTCTCGCACTGGAATTCAAGTCGCCTTTTTGCTGCGGCAGAGTTTCGGTGGTAAATCCTCCTCGGCGAGGATTTACAGCTAAGGTGCTGGATCGAACCTCCTTGTGTCTTCTGTTCTCTTTGATTTGTTTGAGAAGTTTGTCACGATGGTAAGTATAGTATGACAGACGATGAATAAAACATGATATT